CCGCCCCCCCAAAAAAATCTCCAGGTCTTCCCCAACCGGGAGTTGGCAACCCTGGCGCTCCCCCGCCCTGCTCCACGAGGTCCCACGTGCGACGCGAGGCCTGCCAGTCCCCCCCTTCCCGGCCGCGCCCGTCGGGGGCTCCCTCCCTCCCTCCACGTGGAGCGCCAGGCCCGCCTTCCGCCAGGGAGGGAGCGAGCGCCCTCGGGGGCCGGCCGGCGCGCCCAGCGGATCGGTCCCGCCCGAGGGCTTCCCGGGGCTGGGCCGGGCTGCTCCGCCCCTCCGAGCGAGCAAAGGAGCGAGCGAGCGAGCGCAGCTGCCTGGCTGGCTGGCTGGCTTGGCGGAGGCGCCGGGCTTTTACATAACCGTGGCGGCGTCGAGGGAGCCCCAGGCGCCGCACCACCATGGGCCGGAGGAGCGCCCGCCGCGCCGCCGCCTTCTCGACGTGCAGGTCAGTCCCGCCGCCCGGCCGGCTCCGTCGCGCGGGGGGAGCGCCAAGGCAGCAGGCTCCTCGTCCTCAGGGCTCGGCCGCCGAAGGAGAAGGGTGCCGCGGAGCGTGTGCAGAGCGCCCCGGCCCCAGGGGCCGAGACCGCCTTCGGGAGACGTTGGGGGGGCGAAGGCGGGCCAGGAGGGAAGTGGCACCAGGATTCAACAGGTGCCGCCTTCGTCTGCAGCGGGGCAGAGCTGCACCTGTTGGGTTTGCGGCTGGCCCTCCTTCGGGAGCCCCGTGCGTGCCGGGTACAGCGCCCTCTGGGCGTGGGGGCGAGAACCGCCCGCCTGGCCTGCCTTTCTGGCACCCCCCCCCCGTTGGACTTGACAGGGGGCAGGTGGGGAGGGCAGGCGGCCAGCGGCAGTGCTGGAGCCGGGAGCAGCTTTTCCGGCACTTTTGTCTTCGTGCCAGGGAAAGTGTCAGGGGGTGAGGCTTCTGCAGGGACTTGCTTGGGAGCAAGAAAAATGCCCCCCCCCCCAATATGTGCACCCAAACCCAGACTTGGGATCTTAGGTCGCTTGGGAGGGGGGAACTCCCCGCAGCGTGAAAGCCAGCAAGTCAGCACATAACCCTAACCCCACCCCCGCTTTGCTATCCTGTCTCTGCCCAAGAGGGCTTTCTTGCCTAGGTGCTCGTAGATACCAGGGCTACGCCAGACTTCTCCCCCGTGTTCCCTCTAAGCTGTGTGCCCGAGCGGCCGCTCATTAACACAAGAAGCCCCTCTCCGCGGCGGTCTGGAGCCGCACGCATCTCAGGATGTGAACTGCTCTGCTGGGGGGGCGGTGGAATTAGAGGGGACCTTGGGTTCCGCCCTGCTCCGGATAGCCTGGCTCGATCTCGTCAGATCTCGGAAGCTAAACAGGGTCGGTCCTGGTTAGGACTTGGATGGGAGACACCCCATCCCCAGCAGTGTTCCCTCTAAGCTGACGTAGTGCGAGCTGGTTCACAGTTTTTTAGCCTCCGGCTCACGCATTTTTGACTTAGCACAGGAAGGAGGGCTCCAGAACAAACTAATTCACGCAGCAGCCAAATCGCTCGCGCGCCGCTTTAATGCCAGGAGCTCACAAAGTAGAATTCTTGCTCACAAGACTCCACAGCTTAGAGGGAGCCTTGAAGGAAGTCTAGGGTTGCTATGCAGAGGCAGGCGATGGCAAACCCCCTCTGAATGTCTCTGGCCTTCCAAACAATTGAGGTGACCATAAGTCAGCTGTGACTTTACAGTGTGTGTATGGGTGTGCGTGTGCATGTGTATGTATATGAATATATACATATTCATACACACACACACACGCAAGACCTACAACGCTTGAGAACTCGATGCTTTTTGTCTTTCTTAAAGCAACAAAAGCCAGTTTGGTGTAGTGGTTAAGTGCGTGGACTCTAATCTGGGAGAACCGGGTTTGATTCCCCACTCTTCCACTTGCACCTGGCTGGATGACCTTGGGCAAGCCATAGTTCTGTCAGAGCTGTCCTTGAAAAAGAGCAGTTCCTGTCAGAGCTCTCTCAGCCCCACCCACCTCACAGGGTGTCTGTTGTGGGGAAAGGAGGGGAAGGGAAAGGAGTTTGTAAGCCGCTCTGAGACACCTTCGGGTAGTGAAGGGTGGGGTATGAATCCAATCTCTTCTCTTCTTCAATTATTGTGTGCGTGTGTTAAATGCTGTCAAGTCAGTTCCGACCTATGGTGGTCCTCTGAATTAATGACCTCCAGACCCCCCCCCCAAATCCTTAACAGTCTTGCTCAGGTTGTGTCTCTCCGAAAAGTTTCTGCCTGGCCTTGCGCGTGTGCTGGGGGTGTGTGAGTGCGCTCTGTTGAGTGGTGTCTTTGAGCTCTAGGACAGGGGAAGAAACCCCCTTTGACCTAGAGGGAGTCTCAAAATTCTGGGCGCTCAGGAAGAATGCATGCCCCCTTCCACGGCCAGCTGGTACGCTGGCCAGATGTGGAGAGGCGGGCAGCTGCCTTTCATCACTGTGTGTGTGGGGGGGTTTTTGGGGGGTTGGCAGCTCTTGAAGGAATAAGAATGCTGCCCACAGGGGACCAACCCCCTGCCCGCCGCAATTGCCCTCTCCTCCTTTTGGCTGCTCTGGTTGTTGGGCAGAGTTCCACCGATCTCTGCAGAAGATGCGTCTCCCCCAAAACGATGGGTGCTCATTACAGCGATGGGCCTCCTCATCTCCCCACCACCACCTCCTGCCAAGCAAAATTTACTCCTCCGTGGAACGAAAGAGAAGCCGGCAGTTGGGACCGTGGTGGGGGCAGAGCCTCTCCTTTCAGCCCCGATGAGTTCCCGCCGTCTCCCTCCCTGTGGCCTTCCGAAGCCCCCGTCCAGCACCCAACGAAGCCTCCGTGTCCTTAAGTGACCTGCTGACCCCGGCACATCTGTCCGCCCGGTGGGGCCGATCCTTCCTCTCCTCCACTGAGCCTCAAATCAAACCCGGCCAGAGTGGGCGGCCGTGTTGGCTCACACCTGTCCCGTTTGTATGCTCCTTGGGGCAGGGGCCAGAGGTCTTCTTAGCTTGCACATGCGGGCGGCACTGTGTAAAACCCGGAGTGTCGATGCATTGGCGGAGCCTTTCCTCTGCGCCCTCTCTCCGCCCAGGAGCGGTTGGAGGAAGATCCGCAGCCCCCTCCTCCCGACCCCCAAGGAGACCCTTCCCTGTGCAGGGCACGCTGGAGGGTCTCTCTCCATCTTGGGGCCTTGCGTTCCCTTTCCCCATCCTCCACTGCCCCACGGGTGGCAGGCAGCTGTGGGGTGGTCTGTGACACCCACCTGAGTGCCAGGTGCGTGAATCCTTGCCCGCCGATTTTGGAGCATCGCAGCTTTAGAAACACCTATTTATTAGGGGCAGATGAGAGATGAGGGAACTCCGTTTCTCCAAGGCTCCTTTGTGCAGAATGGCCTTGTTGAGTGGCAGGTTGGGGGGGGGCTTGTAAGAGGCCCCCCTGGGCAGGGTTCGCCTCTGCTTGAAACCTCTGACGCTCCAGGTCTCGTGTCCTGGCTCGTGAGGCCAGAAGTCGCAAAGCTGATGCTAGGAAGTCTTTGCCCAGGAACTGGTACCTTTACGAATCCCGAGTCTTTATGTTGTGCTTGCAGTGTCTGAAGCTTTCCACCTGCCTTCTCTTGTTCCCGTCCTTACACCTGCCCTGTAAGGTAGGTCAGCTTCCTCACCCCAGTCTTGTAGACGGCATGCGGAGGGGGCCACAGGCGGCTTGCCGACGTGGGCAGGATTTGGCGCAGGGACCCGCCAGTTTGGTGTAGTGGTTAAGTGCGTGGACTCTAATCTGGGAGAACCGGGTTTGATTCCCCACTCCTCCAATTGCAGCTGCTGGATGACCTTGGGCAAGCCATAGTTCTGACAAGAGCTGTCCTTGAAAAAGACGTGCGCAGGATTTGGCGCAGGGACCCGCCAGTTTGGTGTAGTGGTTAAGTGCGTGGACTCTAATCTGGGAGAACCGGGTTTGATTCCCCACTCCTCCAATTGCAGCTGCTGGATGACCTTGGGCAAGCCATAGTTCTGACAAGAGCTGTCCTTGAAAAAGACCAGTTTCTGTCAGCCCCGCCTCCCTCACAGGGTGTCTGTTGTGGGGAGGGGAAGGGAGAGGAGTCTGTAAGCTGCTCTGAGACTCCCTTGGGTAGTGAAGGGCAAAGGGGTATAAATCCCATCTCCTCCTCCTCCTTAGCTGCTGTTGTGCGCACTAGGCCTCGTGAAAAAGCGTGCCGTGGGTTGGTCTCCTGGAGGCAAAGTTCCATGACCCGTCTGCTATGCTGCACCAACTATGGTGGCGAAATGGAGCTGCCATGTACTAAGGCAGTGTACCTTTGAGTACCAGTAGCTGGGGAGAAACGCTGTTGGCACCCGGGACTACTTGTGGCGTTCCCCTGAACTGTAGAGATTAGAAACAGGAAGTAGGACTGGAAGGACTTTCAATTGGTCTCACGAGGAGTGATCCCTACTTCAGGGACCTTCCCGTAGCTTTCTGTGCTGGTTTGCTTTTAGCAAGGGGGTTTTTGAACAAAGGGAAGCGTGCCAAAATGTGTTCTTTCTCCTGCAGCCTGAGGTGAGTTCAGTCCAGGTGTTAAGAACATAAGAGAAGCCAATGCTGGATGAGGTCAATGGTCCATCTAGTCCAACACTCTGTCACACAGTGGCCAGATATACCAGGTGCCATCAGGAGGTCCAGCAGTGGGGCCAGGACACCAGAAGTCCTCCCACTGTTGCCCCCCTTCCAAGTACCAAGAATACAGAGCACCACTTGCCCCGGACTGAGAGTTCCTCTCTATACCTTGTGGCTAAGAGCCACTGGTGGACCTCTGGCCCATATGCATTTAACACTGAAGTATTCCATCCGCTCATTCAGCTGTGTGGATGGACTAGGCCTCAGTTTCCCCCAAGTACCTCCACAACATGGAACAAAGCTGCAGTGTAGTGCCTCTTTTAAGAGAGTTAACCTGAGCAGTTGCAGATGACCCAGCGATGCATCTTCAGCCATGCTTGGTCATTTGAATGCTCTTTTTATTAGGCAACTACACTCTTGGGTATGCAGAACCCCATCAACTAAAGGATGGTTACCAAATATAATTACCCCGTTTGAATCGTCCTTGTTTCTGTTCAATGGAGTCGTGTTAGACACTTTAATCCAGGGGTGTCGAACTCATTGGTTATGAGGGCCGGATCTGACATAAATGAGACCTTGTTGGGCCAGGCCATATGTGTCGTAAAACGTAATGCCAGGTAGCCGAGATATAAATTTTATAAAGGACACAAACACAAAGGTGTTTTTTTTTTTACTTAAAATAAAAACATGCTTAAAGCATTAACTCTGTAAGCTGCAAACCTAGTTTTGATTTATTGACATTCGCCACAGAAATCTCATGCTCAGAGTTCTGCGTCCAGGGCCCAGGTTAAAACATGAAATGGCTGAGCGATTAAGAGAGTCTGGCGAAGCAAGCGATGATGCAGCAGCAGCAGCAGCAGCAGAACCGGAAGCAGGAGACGGCCAGTTCCACCGCGAGCCTGATGAAGGCCCTCTGGGGGCCTGACCCGGCCCCCGGGCCGCATGTTTGACACCCCTGCTTTAATCTCTTTGGGGCGATTAATTGACCCAAGCCAAAATTGCGGGTTTTACAGAGCGTGGCAGTGAACCGGAGAGGGTCACTAACCATATGGGGGGGGAAACCTCCTTTGGGTCTCCAAATGATACCTTTCCTTGAGCAAAAGATGTGAAACTCGTAGGAGGGGAATTCTGTGGCCCAGAGCGGAGGGAATGCTAAATGGTACTTAGCGGGACCTGCGGTTTCTTGCATTAACACTGCTGAAGACCCCGGATGTCCAGGGAAAATCCGGCTTCTAGCTTGCTGGACGGAACCCAGCCTCAGACGCTGCATTTCCAAGCCCACTTCGAGTATCTGATTTCCGGGCTTGGCTTGAAGTTAAAGAGACTCCATAAACATAGTTTGGGCACTTGGAAGCAACCCTTGACCACAGTCGGCAGTGATGTCTGTCCCGGGCTTGAGGTCCAACCCATGTTTGGAGGTTTTGGTCTGCAGCTTCTGTGGAGAGACAAGCCAGGGAGGGAGTTCGGCTGCCAAAACCAGCCGGCCGGTTTGCTTCGCGGATCACTCAAGAATCTCGCCTGCTCTCCAGCGACTGACAAATCCCTTGTTTGTAAGCAGCGAGAAGTGGCTTTTGGAAAAGCACCTGGTGTTTAGGCAGAAAGCTCCTCCTTTCGGATTCTTAAAAAGACACATCTCCCCCCCCCCAATTTGGTAAAGAGGGGAAGGTCTGCAGACAATCCGAAAGGCCCAGCATTTATTGTATGCACAGAATTTGTGTCCCGCCTCTCTGTCCTTATAAGGGCCTCCAAGGCGACGAACCATTTAAAACGGACATGATAAAATTATATTATAAAAGAAGAAGAAGAGATTGGATTTAGACCCCGCCCTTCAGTACTCAAGGGAGTCTCAGAGCGGCTTACAAACTCCTTTCCCTTCCCCCCCCAACAGACACCCTGTGAGGTAGGCGGGGCTGAGAGAGCTCTGACAGGAACTGCTCGTTTTCAAGAACAGCTGTGCCAGAACTATGGCTTGTCCAAGGTCATCCAGCCAGGTGCAAGTGGAGGAGTGGGGAATCAAACCCGGTTCTTCCAGAGTAGAGTCAACACACTTAACCACTACACTAGAGATGTGAAGGGCTGGAAAAAAAATGGAAAAATTCGGGGAAAAACCCATTTTTTTTCATTTTTTTTCTGAAGGCTTTTTGTTTTTTTCTGAAAAATTGGAAAAATTGAAAAAAAGAAAAGAAAAGAAAAAAATGATTATGGAACATTTTATTTTAATATGATGAATAAAATATTTTAAGATAAGGTGTTCAAATATTTTTCAAATCATTTCTAATATATATATATATGGTATCACATTGATCTAATTTCTGTGCACTGAGGACAAGCAAGTCCTAGGTTACAAACTGAACTCTCCAATGCAAGAACAAGATGCATTTCTTCCTTTAGGAGGTGCGATTGTCAGAAGAAAATTAAAAAGTTTCAGTTTTGTTTTTGCATGTGGGTGGGTATTCTGTTTGTAATAATTGTTTGGATACACTATATTTTTTAATATGCTAGTTGTGATAATTTCATGCCAAGTAAAAATGTCCATAGTCCTATTTTATGTTCCTAAAGTAACAGAATGACTTTCAATCTAGAAAAGACAAAAGAAATGCTAATGTAGCATTTTTTTCAATTTTTCCGTTTCCCCCCGGAAAAAAACGGAAAAAACCCGGGGGGTTTTCCGAGCTTCAAAATTTCTGGAAATTTTACATCTCTACACTACACCAAACCATTCATATCAGCCCCCCTCTCCCAAACAATCCATCATTAAAACAGGCGTTTTTTAAAAAAAGTTAAAATACATGAAAAACATAAAAACATTGGGAAGGAAGGGAGGAAGGAAGGATCGACGGAGGGAATGCCAAATGAAACAAAAAGGCTTCATTCACTGGTGGAAGAGAATAGATGAATCTCCGTGGGGAGAAGATTACGGAACTTTGGGGCCACAACCAAGAAGGCCCCGTCCTGGGTTGCCACCTGCCTAATCTCAGAAGGTGGGCGTATCCAAAGCAGGGCCACTGGAGATGACCGTAACGGTCAGGCTGGCCCCCTGCTTTCACGAGCAGGAAGTTCCCCTTGAAGGCTTCGTTAATGACATGACTGGTCACCACGGCAGGTGGTCTTCTGTTTCTTCTCTTCCTCAGCCAGGGCTATTTTGGGGGCGGAACGCACAGGAACGGAGTTCCGGATGGCTTCAGAGTTGGCCACGCCCACTACAGCCAAAACCTCTGCGTGCGTGGCTACAGAGGGAAGGCCTGGAGAACAACCCCCCACGCGACTCTGAGGCGGGTGGGCCGGGGGGCCCTGGGAGGATCAGGGACCACGGAAACATCCAAGGGCCAGCTTGCCTGGGCTCCCCGCAGCCTTGGGGTGCCCGGGCAAGCCAAGGGAAGGCATGGGGTGTGGCCTAATATGCTAATGAGCTGTGCTGTCAGGGGGTGGCCTAATATGCTAATGAGTTTCTGCTGTTGGGTGTGGCCTGTAATGCTAATGAGTTCCTGCTGGGCTTTTTCTACCAAAAAAGCCCTGTTCTCAGCCATGGGCAGGTCTGAGTAAATTCATGGCATGCGCCAAGGGCAGCGTGCCGGGCCTGATCAGTGCCCCTTTGGCACTGGCTCTGCCCCCACGAATCCTCTGCCGGCCACACACCGGGGCTCCCTGGCAGGCGAGGATTCCTTGGTGTAATGTAGTGTAGTTAAGAGGATTGCTTGGTGTAGCGGTTAAGTGCGCGGACTCTAATCTGGGAGAACCGGGTTTGAGTCCCCACTCCTCCACTTGCAGCTGCTGGATGACCTTGGGCCAGCCACAGTTCTCTCAGAGCTGTTCTTTCAAGAGCAGTTTCTGTCAGAGCTCTCTCAGCTCTGCCTACCTCACAAGGGTGTCTGTTGTGGGAAAGGAGTTTGTAGGCTGCTCTGAGACTCCGAGTGAAGGGCGGGGTATAAATCCAATCTCCTCCTCCTCCTTCCTTCTTTTTGTCTCTTCTCCCCCCTCCCCAAGATCAGCGTGGTGCAGCCCACCTTGCATGGGCCACGCCCCTCCAGCCAGAGAGCACCAAGTTCCCAAGTATATAGGATGTGTGCGGCCGTGTTATGCTCTCTAGCACCCTCTGTGCGCAAGGGGAGAACACTCTGAGCATGCCCAGAGGAGTCCCTCGGCGATTCTCCGACAGCTACGCAGTTCTGCCTCCGTCGCAGTAGCTCTCGACTGTACCCACCCTGCTTTTAAAACGGAGGACACGGGCGGGGGGGGGAGTGGACTTCCTCCTATATTGTTAGCTAGAAGAAGGCATTGTGTAGCCGTCGCTGTTGTTTTTTAAAACGGGGGCGGGGGAAAAGAAATCTTCCAAGTGGTTTTCTTTTGGAGCATGCGGCTGCCGTCGGGGTCCGCCAAAGCCAGCTCTCCTTCCTGTGTGCAGTCGGGAACGTGAACTCACGAGCCGGTCGCTTGTGAGCGGGGCCTTCCCGGGTGGGGTGGGCTACCTGATCTTGCCAATGCGTCTGTCTGCAGATGCCGGTCTCTTCTCCGAAAGGTATCGTACATCTTGTGCTTAACGGTATCTGTTTCCTTTCTCTCTCTCTCTCTGACTAAGGGGAAAACCTTTTTCGGAAAACTGTGTTGTGTAACTTTTCTCTCCCGGCTTGGCGTTGCTTTTGCTGATGCAGCGTTCTCTAGCCATCTCGATGGCTCTGCCGCTTTTAGAGAGGGGCCTGAGCGTGCCCTCATGCACTGGACGTAGCCCGTCATGACAGTCTTGTCCCAGAAGAAGAGGAATACTTGTCAGGGTACAGGTTTTGCGCATTTCTCTGCATTCAGAGAAGTCAAGTCAAACATGGGCAGGGGTAAGCGGAAGCCAGGACGAGCCGGTACCGAGTGCCATGTAGAAAGCGGCCGAGGGGGTACCTTCCATCTTCTGATTTTTGCCCCCCCCCCATGAGAGACAGCGCCCCAATCAATTTAGGTTACGTCCTTTTGCCCCTGAAGAGGAGTCCTCCCTTTTGGGGGTGAAGTGGTTGAAGGAAGGGTTGTGCTACGGGGTGGTGGTACATCACTGTGGATAGTTGCGCACTCTCCACAGGCCCTGGTTTTCTGGCAGCCGCGGCCCGCAGGAGAACGGTGCGTGGAAGGAAGCGAGGGTGCTGAGTCATCCACAGGCTGGTGGCACTGATAGGCTCCGGAGGCAGGGGGCCCCCTTGGGGGCGAGCGCCCGGGACGGCCGCAGCGAAGCACGTTCGTGGGCTTCCTCGGGGAAGTCTCGGCCTTGTGATGTTTTCCCCGAGCGCTGCGGTTGCACTTCGTTCCAAACACCACCTGCTCTTTGGAGGGCAGCAGCTGCGGCCTTGGGAGAAGATTGGGAGGTGCCCGTCGCCTCTCTGTCTGACCGTTCCCCGCCCCCTCCAGCATTTCTGCGCCGCTTGCTACTGACAAACGTGCAAATGTTGGTTCCTTGTCCTCAAAGCAGGATCCTCTTTAGGCCTTCCAGTTTTTGCTTCTCACAGTGTCTGGCTTTCTAACCTCCCTGCTTGCTTCAGCCACCAACTCCCCGCCCTTTCCAGCTGGGGGGGGTCTGCCGCCTGGCGGTTCCCGTTCCCCCCCCCCCTCAGCTCCAGGCTCACACCAGGTCCTCTGGTTCTGCTCAGTAGCACATAACTCTTCCTCTCCCAAATCCCCGTGTGCAGATTTTTCTCTCAGGCCCACCCGTCAGTTGCGTGCGTCCCCAAAGCTGCAGCAGTTGACTGACCCTTCCCCATCAGAGGTGCAATCTCTGTGAACGTTCCGTGGCACTACGGAATGAGAGGGAGGTCTTTCAGGCACGCAGTAGCCATTTTTGACAAAACAACAACGTGTGTCTGTGTGCTATCGGAGGCGGCATCGGGCATGCGAACAGAAAACTCTCCCGGCGTGAAGTTCTGTTTCCACCTGTGCCCCCGGCGTGCTTTTCCCTGAGCTCTGGCCACTCTTAGCAGACAGATTTTGCATCTCAAGTTTCAAGGGCGATGGTGCTTTCTGTTCTTGCTGTTTCCCAACTTTTCTAGGAATCCGGTTGTTTGGAGCCGCAGGTGTCCCAAGTTTTAGCTTTCGTTCCCTTGGGGAAATGCCGTCACAGTTTTGATTTTGGCCGTCCGCCGTCGAAAGGAAGCGGGCGCACATGTAGCCCCCCCCCCAGCCCTGTGTTGAGTGCACAAGTCTCTAAGTGCATTTGTGTGGCCTGAATGTGCATTATAGAATTATTCGTAGAATCATCAAGAGCCCTTGTTTCGGGAGGGGCTCCTCCAGAACTCCCTCTCCGTGTTGGCCTTTTCGCAGCAGCTTTAATAAGGAAGTTCCTGAGCGTGTTTCCAAAGCGAGAGGCCAAAACGCCCTTCGTGGCAGCGAGCAACGAACCTGCTTCCTGTCTGAGCTGCATGCAGGGCGACGATAAAATGTTTTGCAGAAGGGAAAAGGAGCTGAAGAAAAACTGCTGGCCTCCGGGCCAGAGGGTGCAGCGTTGGGGAGGAAAGCCGGCCGTTGGCTTCCTCGCCCAGGTTTTAGTGTGTAATTTGTCATGAGATTTGGGGAGACGCTGGCCTTCCTGTTCTGTATCGGGCTTTGCAGAAATCTGTGAAATGTTGGGGAGGGGGCATGGAAAAATCCATTAAGGGGACCCCACCACCACCACCACCCTGGAAAATATGCTCAGCAGTGGTATTTTTTTGCAGTGGGGCTTCAGAGCCAAGTAAGGTAAAGGTAAAGGTTCCCTTGCTCGAAAGCCAGTCGAATCCGACTCTAGGGTTGCGGTGCTCATCTCCGTTTCAAAGCCGAAGAGCCAGCGCTGTCCGAAGACGTTTCCGTGGTCATGTGGCCGGCATGACTAACCACCAAGGCGCACGGAACGCTGTTACCTTCCCACCGAAGTGGTACCTATTTATCTACTTGCAATTCCTTGCTTTCGAACTGCTAGGTTGGCAGGAGCTGGAACTAGAGACAGGAGCTCACCCTGTCTTGCGGCACCCGGGTCTTGAACTGCTGAACTACTGACCTTCCACAGCCTGCAGTTCAGCGTCTTAACCACTTGAGCCACCGCAGCTCAGAGCCAAGTAGACAGGGCTAAATCTGTCTGTCAGTTGTTTTAAAAGCAAGGTGTCAGGCGTCGCCATCAATGCTCCCTCTAAGCTGTGGAGTCTTGTGAGCAGAAATAGTACTTTGTGAGCTACCGGCATTAAAGTTGTGAGCCAGCGATTTGGCTGCTGCACAAATTGGTTTGCTCTGGAGCCGTCCTTCCTGAGCGAAGACAAAAACCTGTGCGCTGGAGGCTAAAAAGCTGTGAGCCGGCTCACACTAACTCAGCTTAGAGGGAACACTGGTTGTCACCAATGCGCCCTCTAAGCTGTGGAGTCTTGTGAGCAAAAATCGTACTTTGTGAGCTACCGGCATTAAAGTTGTGAGCGAACAATTTGGCTGCTGCATAAATCAGTTTGCTCTGGAGCCACCCTCCCTGAGCGGAGACAGAAACCTGTGCGCCGGAGGCTAAAAAGCTGTGAGCTGACTCACACTAACTCAGCTTAGAGGGAACACACCAGTGCTCCCCCTAAACTGTGGAGCCTTGTGAGCAAAAATCGTACTTTGTGAGCTACCAGCATTAAAGTTAAGAGCGAACAATTTGGCTGCTGCATAAATCAGTTTGCTCTGGAGCCATCCTTCCTGAGCGGAGACAAAAAACCTGTGCGCCGGAGGCTAAAAAGCTGTGAGCTGGCTCACACGGACTCAGCTTAGAGGGAACACTGGACTCAGGTCAAAGTCCTGCCTGGGGCTGCAGGAGAAATTTGAGCTCTCGGGTGCGATCGATGGCTTTTGCATGAACTGTGTGCACCGGAAGCCTCCCTGCCCCATTACACTGGCAGGGGGGCTAACCCAGAAAGTGTGTCTTCCGAGAGGAGGCCCTCAAGACCAGAGCTCCCAGTGAACGTTGGTCCCCACTGTCCCGTCCGAGAAACTCCTGCTTGTGGCTTAGCCCAGCTTTGGGGGCTGCCGGGCCTCAGCCTTTCCCTTTTGCCCTCCCCCCCACCCTTCCGATGCCACATCTCCTCCCTCTTTGTCTCTTCCAGAGCCCCTGAACATCTCCAGTTCCTGCCATGAATGGACACATCGTCCCGCCAGGCGAGCCCCCTCCCCCCGGCGGCTGGCATGAGTTCTGCGAGCGTCACGCCATCTCCACCGCCAAGGAGCTGGCCTGCAAGTACCTCCTCTTCATCCACGACAACCCCCAGCATGAAGTCCTGGCGGCGGAGAACTTCTCCCTGCAGTTCGCCGACCTCTTCCAGCAGTACTTCCGCCACGAGGTGAAGGAGACGTCCGTCATGAGCCAGTTCCGCGTCCTGCCCTTCAGCAGGGCGCGGGATTATCGGGAGACGGGCTGCCGGCACGCTGACGGCTCCTCGGGGACAGGCGTGCCCAAGGCCGAGGTGGAGTTGGCCGACCAGGCGGACAGAATGACCGAGGCCGGCCCCGGCGGCCTGCCAAAACCTGAGGAGCCTACGGGGACTTCGTCGGCCGTGAGGAGGCACTTTTCCCTCGACCGGCTTAGGAGGAGCTTGCGGAACTTTTTCCGCCGGAGGCCCTCGGAGCCCAGCCCCGCCGAAGGAGAAGCGCCGGACTCCGTTTTGAAGCCGGGCCTGGCCTGGAAGATCCTCCCGTGGTCCCTCTCGCGAGACCAGGCCCTCGAAGTGCGGAAGGAGGGCCACCTGAGGTACTGGACGGTGACCGAGGCCACCATGGACTGCGGGATGCGCTGGCAGAGGTGCCGGCTGGTTTTGCGGAAAGCGGGCAGCGGAGAGGACGTCTTGGAACTCTTCGATCCCCCCAAGGTAAGCGAGGGAGGCGGCTGCCAGCGAGCGGCCCGGCCTGCTCATGTAGTCGTTTCTGTATTTGTTGGTCTTGTTGTATAAAGCGCCGCTCAGAAGCTATTTACACACCTGAATGCGCAGCCAGCAGTCGAACATCTCAGCCCAGATGCGGTTCCATGTCCACCTCTTCCAGCCAGGTATTTCAAATCGGCTGACTCTGCCATTCCAGGGCTTACCCAAAGCTGGCCTCGTACGGCTTCCGAAGCTGCTGGAAGGCCGGCTGCTAAGGCCCTGGGGTAAGGCACCAGTGCCGGTTCTAGAATCTGGGGGCGGGGGCGCAGCGGGCAGAGAGCTCCCAGGGGGCTCCCTTCAAGCCCACTCACCCTACATGGGCATCCTTCCCTGGTCTGCTCACGGGCCCTCCCACTGCCCGGGCACATGGCCATCCTCACCACCCACAGCCCTTTCCCGACAGGCAAAGGGCTGTGGGTGGACCTGGGCGCGTGAGTGGTAGAGCACTCGCAGGTGAGCAGGCAGGGAAGAGGGCAGCAGAAATGGGCCCTGCCAGGATCTCTGGGCACCGGCAGCCGCCCTGCCTGACCATACGCTGGCGCCGGCTTGTAAGGCGCGCGGAAGCAGGGAGCAGTTGCTTGTCAGGCTTGAGAAGCCTGTTCCGCAGGGCCTGCAAGACGGAGCTCTTCCGCCAGGCTTTCGAGTAGGAGCCGCCACTGCTTCCACCACTGTCTCCACCACCACAACCAGCTGAGTTGGGTAACAGCGGGGGGTGAGATGGCCCTGTGTTAAATGAACTACAGCGCTGCGTGGTTCTGATACCACTGACTGGGGACTGCGGTCCCCAGGATGCCATCTTGTTACGGAAGGCTTTCCTGAAACATCTTGAGCACTTTGTATTGTTGCTTGATTGTTTTGTCTTGTTTTTAATTGTTTTAACTATTGGCAGACATGCCCTATCTGTGAGCCGCCCAGAGCCCGCTTGCGGGGAGGGCGGGCTATAGATCTAATAATAAATAAATAAATAGAGGTGGGGCTAAGCTGCCAGAAAAGCTTGGCCCCAGGTAGAACATTCATCAGGGTCCTTTTTGTGTTGCGTGGGGCTTCCGCCGCTTGAAACACTTCCACATCCTCCTGAGCGTTCGTACTCCCTTCACTGCAAGATCGGGCACTGTAGACGAGTCCTTTTTTTATTTTTAGGAAAAAGAGAGATAGCTCTGTACATAACGCGTCGTTTCAGTGGCGGGACTGGCTGCCGTAGGGCATGGCGATGGCCCTTAGGACCAATGACTTTTGTTTATGTATTTGGCAGACGCACAGGCCGCTTTTCTCCTGGAACACAGGACTCGAAGCGGCTTCCGAATAGAGATGCAGAAAGATCTGAAATGACTGTTCAGTCGCTAAAAATTGTAGTACGTCATAGCACCTCTTGCTCGCACCCTCGTTGCCACAAAAAATCAGAATTGGAGAAAAACACAGTGCCAGCAAAGAAGCCACGCACTGTAGAGAAGTCCTTTCTTTTTAGGAAAAAGAGAAATAGTTCTGTACATAATGCGTCGTTTCAGTGGCGGGATTGGCTGCCGTAGGGCGTGGCGGTGGCCCTTGGGACCGATGACTTCTGTTTATGTATTTGGCGGGGGCATGTGCCACTTCTCTCCAGGAACACAGGACTCAAAGCGGCTTCCGAACAGAGATACAGAAAAATCTAAAATGACTGTTCAGTCACTAAAAATTGTAATACATCGTAGCGCCTCTTTCTCGCACCCTTGTGACCACAGAAATTCAAAACTGGAGAAAAGCACTATGCCAGCAAAGAAGCCACACACAGAGACCAAAAAAATAATAATAATGAAATAAATCACCCATGGAACATAAACGCTAAGAACAGGGGTTGTGGGGTTCTCGAGAAAGGAATCCTTGCCGACTTCACAAAACTACAACACACATGATTCTCTGTTGGGAAGACACACCAATTAAGTTGGATCAAGCTTTGTGGGGCAGGTCAGGTCTTTAAGGAAGGATTATCTCGGTGTAGAACTGGAGGAAGAAGGGACCGCGGTGGCTCAGAGGTTAAGATGCCGAGCTGCAGACCGGAAGGTCTGTAGTTTGGCTAGTTCGAGACCCGAGTGCCGCGTGACGGAGTGAGCTCCCGTCTCCGGCCCCAGCTCCTGCCAACCTAGCAGTTCGAAAGCAAGAAATTGCAAGGAGATAAATAGGTACCGCTTTGGGGGGAAGGTAACAGCGTTCCGTGCGCCTTGGCGTTTAGTCATGCCGGCCACATGACCACGGAAATGTCTTCGGACAGCGCTGGCTCTTCGGCTTGGAAACGGAGATCAGCACCGCATCCCTAGAGCCAGATTCGACTGGCAGGGAAACCTTGACCTTTAGCCTTTATAACTGGAGGCACTCTAGAGCAGGTTCCCTGGAGAAAGGGGAGGAACCTCCCTACAAGTTACTTGGAGGTCTTCTATAAGATGCCCACCCGCCCCACCAAATCGTGTGTTCCCGACAGTTTGCCTCAACTCAGGGGAGGTCTGATGCAGCGCAGTGCCTGGATTGGCCCCTGTGCCAGGCGGCGGGGGCCGACACTGCAGATGGTTTGTTTCTCTTCCCTGTGTGCAAGGGGTTTGGATAATGTTTACCGGGGGAGACACTAAGGCAAGGCAGCCTTGAGTTTCTGAATGGCCAAAAGTGAAACAGACCCATCCTGGAGGGTGGGGGAGCAGACACCCCCTCCCCGGAGAGGAGCATTGTACCTTGTGTGGGTATTAAGTGCCAGCAGGTCTCTTCCAACTTAAGGGCCACCAGTTCAGCAGTTCGAGACCCGAGTTGCCGAATGACGGAATGAGCTCCTGTCTCTAGTTCCAGTTCCTGCCAACCTAGCAGTTCAAAAGCAAGAAATTGCAAGTAGATAAATAGGTACCACTTCAGTGGGAAGGTAACAGCGTTCCGTGCGCATTGGTGTTTAGTCATGCCGGCCACATGACCACGGAAATGTCTCCGGACAGCGCTGGCTCTTTGGCTTTACCCTAGAGTCATTTGACTTGCTTTGGAGCAAGGGAACCTTTACCTTTACTAGACTGGAGGAAGAAGGGACCGTGGTGGCTCAAGTGGTTAAGATGCTGAACTGCAGACCGGAAGGTCGTTAGTTTGGCAGTTCGAGACCCGAGTGCCACGTGACGGAGTGAGCTCCCATCTCTGGCCCCAGCTCCTGCCAACCTAGCAGTTCGAAAGCAAGAAATGGCAAGTAGATAAATAGGTACCACTTCGGTGGTAAGGTAACAGCGTTCCGTGCGCCTTGGTGTTTAGTCATGCCGGCCACATGACCACGGAAACGTCTTCGGACAGCGCTGGCTCTTCATCTTGGAAACGGAGATGAGCACCGCAACCCTAGAGTCAGACTCGACTGGCTTTCGAGCAAGGGAACCTTTACCTTTTTAGCCTGGCTCAGGCCTTGCAGACGGAGGTCTTTTGTGGCTTCCCGGGTTGAGTCAACCCATCTGCTGTTGGGTCTTCCTCTTTTCCCGCTGCCTTTGAGTCTGTTTGGCATTCTTGTTTTTCCCCACTCAGTCTCCTCTTCCCGTAATATGGCCAAAGTACAGCAGCCTCAGTTTAGTCATTTTAACTTCTAGGGAGAGTTCAGCCTCGATTTGGTCTACACCTCCAAAGGAAGTTTAGAAAACTAATTGAGGGCCAAAAGTTAAAAACTTTTGTGTGCAAAAGACTGTTTATGACCAAGACATATGAAAACCTCGCAGGGGCCCAAATAAAGCCTCATAAAATGTACAAAGTTACAAATAACACACAAAAGAGTTGTGTATGTTGTGTATGACCTGACGCGTTTCGGCTCACGAGCACCTTCTTCAGAGGTGAAATCGTGCAAAATATAACAAGCGACAGAGTCCCTGTAACACATGTAAGGCAATTAACAATAAATAAGAAATAAATAAGTAAAATAAGACCAAAATTGAAATGCTGTACAGAAAGATAAAAATTTAGAGCCAGTTTGGTGTAGTGGTTAAAGTGCACGGACTCTAATCCCGGAAAACCACGTTTGATTCCCCACACCCCCACTTGCACCTGGCTGGATGACCTTGGGCAAGCCATGGTTCTGTCAGAGCTGTTCTTGGAAAAAGAGCCGTTTGTGTCAGAGCTCTCTCAGCCCCACCTACCTCACAGGGTGTCTGTTGTGGGGAGGGGGAGGGAAAGGAGTTTGTGAGCCGCTCTGAGACACCTTTGGGTAGTGAAGGGCGGGGTATGAATCCAATCTCTTCTCTTCTTCTTCTCTTCTTATTGGGCCCCTACTAGGTTTTTATATGTCTTTGTAATACACACTCTTTTGTACACTTACTTCTGTTTTTAACTTTTGGCCCTCAATTAGTTTTCTAAACTTCCTTTGGAGGTTTGTGCTTTGTTGGCTTAGATTTCCCCCCTTGTTTTTTTGGGTTGATTTGGTCTAGAACCTACTGATTTGTCTTTGGGGCAGGCCGCAGTATCTGTAAAACACCTCTCCAGATCACATTTCAAAGGACCCAGGTGGTTGGCCGTGTCGGTCTGAAGGGGTAGAGCAAGTTTAGAGTCCAGACAGGTGCCTTTAAGACCAACAGAGTTTGATTCAAGGTGTTGAGCTTCCGTGCGCGCGCGCGCTTCCTCAGACCCATTGGAAGGAAGGTAAGCTTCAAACGTATAGATGGGCTGAACATGAGTTTGAACCTTACCTTCCTTCCAGTGTGTTTGAAAAAGTGTGCGTGCCCAGGAAAGTTCATACCTTGAATAAAACTTAGTCGGTGTTGAAGGCGCCACTGGCAATGCTCCCTCTAAGCTGTGGAGTCTTGTGAGCAAAAATTCTACTTTGTGAGCGACTGGCATTCAAGCTGTGAGCGAGCGATTTGGCTACTGCATAAATTAGTTTGCTCTGGTGCCCTCCTTCCTGAGCGAAGGCAAAAATGTGTGAGCCGGAGGCTAAAGAACTGTGAGCTAGCTCACACTAACTCAAGCTAGAGGGAACA